GCCTTTAGGTCCTATACTTCAACCTTTGCCAGGTCAGCAGTAAGAACTCTATGTAGGGGAGGAAGGGAGCTCCAGACTGCGTTGCTGAATCTGGACAGCCATAAGAATGTGGTACTGTGAAATGTGCGGTACTCGCACACATATGAATGATGCTGGACAAATTAGGACGACAGACTTCTGAAGAAAAAATAAAATGTTACCCAAATACAGCGAGGGACTAAAGCTCCTGCTGGTAACTGAAAATAGCTACCTGTGGACATCCCTAGCCACTGCTCACAGCTACGTATAGACCCCCCTAGCTGCTGCAAAAATCTACCCCTAGACATCCACAGGTAACGATGCTAGATTTTCTAGATGTCCATAGCCGGTGCTAAGAGCTACTTGTACACGTCCATAGGTAGCTGCTAATAGCTACCTGTGGATGTTGCAAGGCGCTGCTAACAACTACCTGTGGAAGTCCCTTGCTGCTGCTAAAAGCTATGCATGGACGTCCCTAGCCGCTGCTAACAAATACCTGTTGACATCCCTAGCTGCTAACACTTACCTCTGGATGTCCCATGCCGCTGCAAAAGCTACCTGTGGAAGTCCCTCGCCACTGCTAGAAACTACCGGTGGACGTCACTATTAGCTGCTAACAGCTACCTGTGGACATCCCTAGCCACTACTAACACCTACTTCTACACGTCCACAAGTAGCTGCTAACAACTAGCTGTGGACGTCCCTAGCCGCTGCTAACAACTAGCTGTGGATGTCCCTAGCCGCTGCTAACAGCTACCTCTGGACGTTCTTAGCTGCTGCTCAAGACGGAGGTATTCTTACTGAACCAGAGGTTCTTCCGTCCATCTTGACTATTTTTCTCATCAATCAATATTTTCTCTGTAGACTTGTCCCCTACGACTTGATGACCGTTTCCCCCTAGTGGTCTGGAGTACTGCAGTGATGCAAAGCCAGCTTGCAGCTTTTCTTAAAGCTATAGTGGAGGATGTGTTTTTTTCCGGGTGGATCACCTAAATCAGTGGTCCTCCTAACTGTCACTCATTGTGGTCATGTGTTAACGTAAGGCTGTCCTTCGTGTTCGTCCCAATTTTCACAAACCGTTGGCGAGTCTGACATAGTGGAAAAATTGCACATCTTCTTTTGGAAAGTAAGCTTGTAAGATCAGAGCGTGCACGAGGAGAAATGTGCTTGTGCACGCTCTTGGACACGTTAAAAAGACGTTCCCTCTTAGGAGCGGGTGCAGGGTTGCCCATATGCATTTTGTTTTTGTCTTTTCAAAAATGCATGAAAATCCTCCACTATACCTTTAACATGCATCTTTATGTTGTAGTTTTATATTTTCACAGTTTACACCATACAGTTGCTATAACATGCATCCTTTCATAACTTCAATTACATTCAAAAAATGAATTAAATATTCCCAGAGGTTCTTGAAAAGGTCATCGTGCTGAGGATGGAGATGTTCTGAAGGATACATTCTTTCATGAGGAAGTTGTTCTGCTCCAGGTGCTGCCACTTCCTCTCCAGGTTAGTCAGCTGAGACACAGACACAGAATGAAAAGCTGCTGCTGAAGCGTTTAGCTGGACCTGTCCGTCCCTGTCCTGCTCTAACCTGAGTGTGCGTCTCGTTCTCCTGAAGTTTGGTCTTCAGAGCTTCGTGTCTCTGGTTCATCTCCCCTAGCAGCTGTCCAAACGTGTCTCTGCGTTGAGTCAGAGTCTCGCGCTCGTCCAGGAGCCTCTACAGTAGGAGCGGAGGAGAGAGGAGGTGTTGAGTTTGTGACGGATCAGGACTGTGGGCTTTAGGTCTGGACCTGCTACCTTCTTCTTGTCCTCGGCTGTCTGCTTCAGGGTGTCCAGGTCTCTGTAGGTGAGCAGCTCAGACTCCATGGTGCTGAGCTGCTCTTTCAGGGTGCTGAGCTCTCCTGTGATCTTCCCCTCCAGCTGTTGAATCTTCTCCAGGTCCTGCTGCAGCCGTTTGGACTCTGAGAAGGAGAGGAGTCATCCGTCTAAACCCTGCTGTAGCTTCCAGATGCTTTTTACTCACCTGTGGTCAGTCCTCTGGCCGTGCTCTCTGATTGGATCACATCCGTCTCTTTGCTGACCAGAACTTCCTGCATGTTCCTCAGCTCGCTGCTGGTCACTCCATCCACAAGGCGGAGCCTCAACATGTTCTAAACAGAGAGATTGGAACAGACACTTCAGATCCTAACCACCCTCCTCCTCCTCATCATGAGTCTCTGCTGCCTCTAACCCTGCTGTAATGTTCCAGGAGGGAGACGATGTTCTCCTGGCTCTGGGTCAGCTTCTCCAGCTCCTCAGCTCTGAGCTCCTCAAACGACTCCAGGAAACCTGGAAGCAAGAAAGATGACTGTAAAAGAGGCCGGGCTCCAAACCTTCATCTGACTGGGCGACTTACGGTCCATCTCCTCCTCCTTCTTCTTCAGCTCCTTGTACTTCTGTTGGCACTCCACTTTAAAGGGAAAAACAACAAAAAAAGACGTCTTTGGTTCATTTTAAAAAAACTAAATCATGAAAGGAAGAAAGATTCTGATGCAGCAGCGTTACCCTGAGCTGCTTCTGAGTCCTGCTCCAGGTTCTGGATCTCCTCTTTGACCTGTTTGCTCCTGTCCCTGATGTCAGTGAGCCTGAGGACACGCACACATTAACGCAGGGAGGTTTAAAAAGCAACGCAGTCAGAGTTAGCAGGAAGCAATACTCACTGTCTGTCCATGCTGGCTATTTCCTGGCTGTCCTCCTTCACCTGAGGACAAAAACTAGGTTTCACTCTGGGATCATTTAAATAACCTTTAGATATTAGATAATAATGAGGACATTTCTTCGTTTCCCTCTTTGGCCTGCTGGGGGCGCCATTGTCTCTCTAAAAAATAGGAACCATCTGTTTTTGGTGCCAGTGAACAAAGAGTCGGATCTCTGGCAGAGAAGAGTCGGTGTCACTGTGCAGATTAGCTGCTTCATTTAGCTCTGCTCTCCGTCGCTGTCGGAGAAAGAAGGCGGAGCTTCCTGCTCTAATAAAAACATTCATTTCTCCAAAGCATAAACAGCTGAACTCAGATTAACTCTATGAATGACTCCATATCATATCAGATAGAAGGTGGAGAACTTTAATCTATGAAGGCAGATCTATAGCAGGAGAATGAGACCATTATCAGTGGGACCAAGAAGAAGGCTGATGCTGCCTCCATCCATGTCTCTTCCTGTTCCTGGACAATCAAAATGTAAACAATGTCCACTCATAACTTTCACCAGTCTGAAGTTTCATCTTCACACATTTGATTCGGTTGCAGTTTTTGCAGAACTTGGTCAGTTAAACTGGGCCACGTTTGTCACGTTTCACCCAGAAAACCTGATAACTGACGTCAGAGGAAGGTGAGAAGACGTCACCTGCTTTAGCAGCTTCTCCCTCTCCTCCTGGGGGGAGCCCAGGCTCTCCTGCTCAGCCTCCATGGCGTCACGCTTCGCCTCCAGAGCAGAGAGGGTCTGATGAAGCCGAACCATCTCTTGTTTGATGCGTGAGTGGGAGAGATCCTTCTCAGAAAGTAAAAACGCCGGATGAGACCCTTCATCTAAACCACTGTTTGGTTTTAGAATCCAGACTCTTTACCTCTTCATAGTCTTCCTTCCTGGTGGCTAGAAGGTCCAGCTCCTCCTGCAGGACTGCAAGCTCCTGTAAAAGAAACTGGAGCTCAGCAAAAGGTTCTGCTGGATCCATTCTGGTGGTTTTTTGGTATAAATTTACCTGTAGCAGCTCCTCATTGGCCGTCGTCATGGAGAAATATTTCTCCCTCTTCGCTGAAGGCATAGCCTGGATAACTTCGTCAGCCACCTGTCTTTCCCTTCTGATCTCCTCCTCAATGGCCTCAATCACCTCTTCTCTCCTGCAGGGCACAGAAGCAGCTGTTATGATTTTTCGCTTCATCTCATCCATGACAGAGAATCAGAGGAAGCCGACTCTTAAAGCTTAGAGCTCAGTACCAGATCACCATCAATATGGCTGCTACAGGTTTAGGCTGCCGGAGGACCAAATGACCATTTTTCCTCACCCTGTTTGGTTCAGTCTCTGTTCTTCAGGATTTAAGCAGGTCATGTAATCTGCAAACAGACTATGATCCATTTACTGATATAAGATAGTTTGTAAAAATCCCAGTAAAACCAGTGAGAGTTCAGACTCTAATGGGGATAATGAATGTTTAAAAGTTCACCTCTCTAAAAAAGGAAGAAAAAAACTTTACAGTTGCATTTAATGAACTTAGATGACTTTATTAATACCAACGGGGGAAGATTGTTACAACCAATAAAAAATAATAATAATAAACATGTAATAACATAAAAATTAGATGATTAAAAAAGAAAATTGTGACACAAAGCTTCAGGACCAAAATTAATAATAATAAAAACACAACATCCACCCTACATGGAATCTGAACGTCTATGCAGGGAAATATGACATTTCTAGATCATCTTTAGATAGATTCAATTTAAAGACCACATGGGAGAGAGCCGCCCCACTGCAGAGATACTGGGAAGCACGGTGGAGGAGGGGTGATGATCATTGTAGACGACATTATGAGATCTGGTGGTCCTCATCCTTCCTGCAGGAACTAAACATCTCGACAGCCCAGGAACAACAATGAGGAAGCTGAGAGCAGAGGTTTGGTTGGTCATAAAGGGTTAGCTAGGAAGAACGTTGCAACTTCTACAGGAGGGTTAGGGTCAGAGACTCTGCCAGCTGCTAAAGCCGGTCTACACTCTGAGAGTTTGCCCTTTCTGGGCCGATCCTCCAGTCGTGCGATAATTTTTTGTATTTGGCCGAGTTCCAGCCTCATGGTGCGTCCTGCAGCATACAGGGGGTAACATGTTTGAAATTCAGTCAGCCCTCCTGAGGTGTTCATCCTGCTGCTGAAGCAGAGCTACCAGAACCTCCAGCACTGCGCACGTGCAAACAAGGAGTTCTTCTTCTTTCAAATTGACGAGTCCTAGTTGCACCATCTCTGGGAGCTGAGTGGATTGTAGATGTAGAGTGTGAGCAGGTAGATCGCATCAGAGTGTCGGGTCTCAGTGTGAGAGCAAACACTGAGCTGTGAACTCTTCTTAGAAAAGAAGCTGATTAGTCAGTCACTTCATCTGGATGGGATTAAACTGATTTCAGATAATAAAGTAAAAAATCTTGGTGTTGTTTTTGATCAGG